CAGGAATGTTTAAAAAAGCAATAAATGGAAAATTGAAAAATTCCTGGTTTCTAAATTGAGATAGATCTTTCAATGCTTTTTATTATGCTTGGTGTAGTAGCGATTATTTTCACATTAATCGATGAAATAATCGTTAAGTTTGGTCAGGAAGCATTTGATTTCACTATAGAGAGAAACAATATTTAAAAACACATTTTAGGTAAAAAGCTGCACTATACAAATGCTACTTTGTATCTTTTTATTGTTAGGTGGGGATAACATAATTACTTATCTGACTGGATTGTCTAATCCAAGACAATCAAATAATTCCCTGTACGACCTTGGTAGCATTACGGAAACTTCAATTTCTGTCCTGTGATGAAGATGCTAAAAGAAGAGTTAGCTGGCAGTGCTCTGCTCTAGTTCTGGGAACACATAAGGAATACAGCTGCATTGAAATAAAAAATGAATTCTGGAGAGGGTGTCAAATGAACCCAATACAAACCACATGGGTGTCTGTACTCAGACCCCCCGGAATGTGATGAATGGGCCCATGATAAATCTGTCGGTTTCTTTGAAGTGGCTCAATACGTATCATTTGAGCTGAAGCACGGAAGGCCCATTACCTTCGCTCTAGGAGGAACTAATAGCCATGTTTGACTTCTGTCATGTGTGTTCAATAATGTGCTTCGTAACACCACATTGAGAGGATGACTTTGGATGGAGTAGAGTAAGCTGGCGCTGTGCAGTCCTTTTGAATGTGGTCTGCTAAGGCAATGCAAGCCGTTCCTTGGGACTTTCTTGATGGAAAATCATTATTTGTTTTGAATCTGAAGGAGCGGCTGTCTGTTGGTTGTCTATCATGCGCCAATGGGATGGAAGATGTTGATATCACACTTGCTTCTAAGTGAGTCCTAAGCCTGGCTTTCAGCTCAAGCAGTGAGCTCTTTAACCTTTTAATGAGTTGAAGCCCTACTGAATAATTGGAGTTAAACAAATGGGAATTAAATGTATGCATACAGCTGCACTTGTGCTTGGAGGGATGAACTGTGTGTTTAACATTAAGCACCCAATTCATCACCTTATTAGTGTGGTCAAATGTAATGGCACCTATTATCCTTGTGCCATGAAAAAAATGGCACCATGAAAATGGCGTAAAATGAAATGGCATAAGAAATGAACTGGGATCGGTAAGATAAGTTTTTGTCTGCCAAAAGAGAGCTTGCATGCCTAAATCTTGGACAACGGCCTCTTCTGCCAGCTTTCCAGCTTTGCCTAGTGCTGGAAGCACCTGAATTTCCACTTTGGTTTGCAGAGTTCCCCACATTGAAGCCTAAGCCCAGTGGAGGCCTCTACTAGCTGCAGACTGGTGCCTCCACTGCAATTCGGACCTGAGATGGAGGTTGCCTCTCCTTCAGCTAGGGCAGGACGCTTAGGAGGCAGGTGGTTTCCTCAGATTCCAC